CGTGGTTCGCGTCCCAGGACCCGGTGGCTTAAACTCACGCCGGGCACATGTGCATGTCCAAGATCCCGAGAGGAGAATGGAGAAGGGATTGTGGAATGGCCATCCCCCCTGGGGGGTGATTTCTCGCTTTCTGTCTCTCTGTCTCTCTCTGTCTGTCTGGCGAGCACATACGCCCTATAGCAAAAACCTCTAAAAAAAAAAAAAAAGCTTTTCAGGATAAGACAAAAACCAGATACCCTGCCTCCCCTCTGGTCACAGTGCACCGCTCTGAGCAGGACCAGCGGCTCCCCAAAAGGTGGCACACCCATCTGCAGAGCTTTCCTATTCCAGCCCTTAAAAAAGGCCTGGCTATGTCGCTGGATTCCCATGTAGTCCACCGTGGTTCGCGTCCCAGGACCCGGTGGCTTAAACTCACGCCGGGCACATGTGCATGTCCAAGATCCCGAGAGGAGAATGGAGAAGGGATTGTGGAATGGCCATCCCCCCTGGGGGGTGATTTCTCGCTTTCTGTCTCTCTGTCTCTCTCTGTCTGTCTGGCGAGCACATACGCCCTATAGCAAAAACCTCTAAAAAAAAAAAAAAGCCTTTCAGGTATAGACAAACTGCAAGATCTGAAACCAAGCAAGAGGGTCAGGCTCTTTAAAAGCCCAGGAGGCAGAGCCTGAAGCTTTATGAGGAAAGCAGGATGGAGGAAGCAAGAGCATGAGTGAACCTCGGAGAAGCCCTAATCTCTTTTCTCCTCCCTCTCTCTGAAAGGAAAGAAAAACAGCACACAATTTACATGCGTGTAATTAGGAACCGATGCCATTACCATCTTCTGATGCAAATCCTCCCTCCCTGCATTTTAAGAAATACCTGTAAATTCCTTTTGCTCTGCTGCCAAAACATCCCACGCCAGCGGCTTTTTCTCCAGCATTTGAGCTGTCTCTGAAAGCACAAAGCCTTTCTTACCCTGTGCTGAAGAGTCTGACTCCCACCTGCCGTGCCCTACTTTTAATATGCACATTTGCTTATTAAAGGTCCGGGAAAAAGTTCTGTCTAAATAAGTCCACTGAACTCTGTTTATAAACAGTTTTTTCCCAAAGGTCCTCATTCACTCAGCCATATTTACCAAGTGCCTGCTCTGAGTGTGAGGCATCCCGGGCCCCGGGGCTACACCACCACCTTCTCCTTGCTCAGGGTGCTTTGCTCTTCCAGAGGTGGACAGGCCCTAAACAAACAGGGATTAATGCACAGGATCACGGCAGGTGAGAGAGGATATGGCAATGATACAGGAAAATACGGATGCAGAAAGTTGGGGTGTGTGGGCCCAGCACACAACGCAGGAACAGCAGCAAACTCGATTCTTTGTCTCACGCTCACAAAGAATGAGAGTTGTGGATACAGAGAAGGAATAGTAAATCGGAGTTGGCTAAGAAAGGTCAGGGTCCCAGGCAGGGAAAGGGTCCTGGAAAACGGGTTGCCCATGAAAACTGAAGCGAGGGTTTGTTTTTAAATCTGTGTCGAAGGGGTTTTGTTTGAGCTTCTTGTTTATACTTAGGATTGTTTAGTCTCTGAGAAGCTGACTTTATGTGACAAGAGAGAAGTGGCTTGAAGAAGGCTGTTATATTGAGAAGTGTCAGCTCATTGACAAGCTTAGTGCTGTTCAAAAGGAGTTTGCAGAGAGTAAAATACCAGGTTCTTTAGGTCTGGATCTCTAAAAGATTTGCCCTAAGATGCAGAATGAAACACTAGAAACACATGGAAAGTAGGAAAAGAGAAGTTTTTAATAGAAAAGTAAAGACTTGGGACCAGCAGTTGGCGTAATGGCTATATCGCTGGACTCCCATGTAGTTGACCACAGTTCGAGTCCTGGACCCAGTGGCTTAAACTCACGCTGGGCGCGAGTGCATGTGTGCCCAAGATCCCGAGAGGAGAGTGGAGGAGAAGGGACTGTGGCGTGGCCATCCCCTCTGGGGGATGATTTCTCGCTTTCTGTCTCTTTGTCTCTCTGTCTTTCTGGCGAGGGCAGGCGCCCTATAGCAAAAACCTCTCCAAAAAAGAAAAAGAAAAAAAAGTAAAGACTTCTAATACGAAGGAAATATACCCCTATGCCTGAAAGACATGTGGTGGGCAGCTGCCAGAGCATGAGGTATTTGTTACTTTTATGCTGGGGACTGGTAATAAATATTTAGCAGGGGAAGGTCTGTCAGAGTCTCTTCTTGTTTGGTTTCCTGGGCTTTTCTTGAGCCTGCTCATCTCTGTCAGGTGAGGAACTTAACTGTGTAATCACACATGCCCAGGATGGTCTTTGAAGGAATTAGCACCCATTTGTGAATGCACTGCCCAGATGCTGACTTCCTGCCCCACCCCAGTGGTGAATTTCTGTGTGCATATCTGGGACTGCAGAAGGAAGACAACAACCTTCCTGGTGCTGAGAGCCAGGTGGGAAGGGTGGGAAGAAGGAATCTTCAAAGAGGGTCCGGTTGCATTTCCTGATGTGTTGGAAGGATCAAGCAAGCTGTAAACAGCTCTGGCTGTAAGAAACCCTCTGTGTGAGCAAGTGCAAGAGCTAATACTCATCTCTAGTGAAAGCAATGACTGATGCTTCTCAAAAGCTTGACCAGAGTGCCTCCATTTTATAAGCTGGCTCTATCTCAATACATATGTGTGTCCATTTCCTATCATAGTGACTCTTCCTCCCTGCCCTATTTACCTACTCACTGGGTCTAATTCCTGTCTCAGCGAGGGCCTCTCAGAGTGAGGGAGCAAACCATGCACACCCCTAGTCTGAGTTCCAGAATTCTGCAAACTACAGGCAAGCCAGTGGTCCCATGCGGAGTGGGCAGGAAGGCCAGGCCAGGATCAGATCAAGGGCCCTTTAGTGAAATGGAAACCCCCGGACCCTCACCCCACTGCAGACATCCCAGGGGTCACTTGTCCAATACAGTGTGAAACTTCTAAAATACACCCAGACACAAAAGGCAGCTTCGCCAAAAAAAAAAAAAAAAAAGATTCTGGACAACACATAAGCAACTGGTGAGCCTGACAGGACCAACGAGGAGAATAAAATTAGACAGCCCAGGGCTGCAGCAATGGCGACACCTCACCATTGACCTCGCTGTACTGTTTGATTTTGAATGACAATGTATTACCCAATGGATGCAATTATTACATTACAACTTAATAAAACAAACTATGGTGTGAAAGAAAAGCAGTCCAGAGCAGTACAAGGTCCATTTAAATCTTAAAAGGCTTCAGTAAAGCATAAGATGGAGTCTTTGGTTATGTCCCAAGCCCATCCAGGTTATTGTCCCAAAAAGACATGCTTCAGTTTACTATAATCAAGCTGTGATGCTGCAACAGGACTTTACAATGGGACCCTCCCTCTTCTTCCCAGTGTTCTTGAGTCGTGATGACAAGAATAAGGTACAGCCAGTCAGTTGCCTGAGTTATTTTAAATGGACCAATGTAAACGCTTGACAGTATGTAACCTCCCTTCTCCTCGTTACATAAACCAGCTTTCTTAGTCACCATTCAGAGGAGCACATGTCTGGGAACCTGGAAGTTTGCTCCTCTGAACAAGCTGTCCTAAGTTCTGACTCAAATAAACCACTTTGATTTTACTTATTTTGCCTCAGTATTCTTTTAGGTTGACAGTCGCATACTAATTTATAACACAGGTAAACTTCTGATACACGGCATGGTCATTTTTAATGCATACTAAGAGTTTCTCTCATTCTAGTTTAGGAGTTTCTATTCTCTCTCATCCTTATAGTTTACTCCCTTAAAGTGATTATCATTCTTTTTTTTTGGAGAGGTTTTTGCTATAGGGCACATGTGCTCACCAGACAGACAGAGACAGAGAGACAGAAAGCGAGAAATTACCCCCCCCCCGGGGGGGATGGCTGTGTCACAATCCATTCTCCATTCTCCTCTCGGGATCTTGGGCACGCACGCACATGTGCCTGGTGTGAGTTTTAAGCCACTGGATTCAGGACTTGAACTGTGGTCGACTACATGGGAGCCCAGCGACATAGCCATTATGCTAACTGCTGGTCCCGATACTGGATACATTCTTAAATGTGCTATGTTATATATCATTTTAATGTGCATTTCTCACTTCATGGGTTTTTTTTTGCTAATGACTTATTACTTGCTGTTTATTTTATATGCATTTTAGACTATGGACATAATGCTAGACAAAAGGCTAATTCAAGCAGTTTTCTTATTTAAGTTCAAAATGGGTCATAAAGCAGCGGAGACAACGTGCAGCATCAACAACGTCTTTGCCTAGGAACAGCTAATGAACATACATACAGTGCAGTGGAAGCTCAAGAGGTTTTGCAGGGGACCAGCAAGTGGCATAGTGGCTAAGGTGCTGGATTCCCACATGGCTGACCATGGTCTGAGTCTCAGATCTAACAGCCTGAAAATCACTCTGGGTACATGTGCATATGTGACCAAAGTCGTGAGAGGAGAATGGAGGAGAAGGGACGGTGGTGTGGCCGTCCCCCCATGGGGTGATTTCTCACTTTCCCTCTTTTTGTGTCTCTCTGTCTCTCCCTCTCTCTATGGTTAAGACATTCTTATAAGTAATAACAACAAAATATGGTGAACACCTATACAGGCCTCACTGAATGCTGGGCACGGGTTTTAGCAGATATGAATTCACTCATCTCAGCCTAATGACAGATATTATTATTACATTTAGGGGCATGTATGTATATATATATATATAAACACACACACACACATACACGAGAGAGACTTCAAAAAGTTCATGGAAAATGGAATTAAAGTACAAGTTTATTTTGATGCAAAAAATAAAGTATTGATCATGTTTAAGTTTTAATGCTTTATTACTCTTGTTGATTATATTATGCATTTTCTTTGAGCCTTCTGAAGATCCCTCACACTCCTCCTCAAGAGTTTTAAATTCCTTAAAATCTCTATACAAGCAAGAAAGGAACCTGTAAGAACATGGGACGGCGTGAATCTCAAATAACTGGTGAGCTCACCTTCTCCTCATGTACTTTCTGAGGCCTGGGGATCCCATTCCCTTGCAGTGTTGCCCCTGCCCCAAGTTCCTGGTTCCTTTAGTCACTGTACAGGATAAAACAAAACAATGAACATTAAAAACCAGAGAATCGACTTACGTTAACACAACTTGGTTTATACTTTGGAAATGGTTAATACTTGCGACCGTATTTGCATACTAGGACAGCCTCTGTTCCTGCAGTTTCACCCTTTGCCTCACCTTTCGGTACCGTGTGGGTCCGATCCAGCTCCCCAAGAGTCTCACTTAGAAACCACTGTTTCACCACTGGCCCATTCATTTCCCCATCTTCCTCTCCTATGAAGAGTATATAAAGGGCCTTCAAAAGCTCATGTTAAACTGGTATTAAAGTACAAGTTTATAGGACCAGCAGTTAGCGTAATGGCTATGTCGCTGGACTCCCACGTAGTCGATCGCGGTTCGTGTCCTGGACCCGGTGGCTTAAAACTGATGCTGGGCGCGTGTGCGTGCGTGCCCAGGATCCTGAGAGGAGAATGGAGGAGAAGGGATTGAGGCGTGGCCATCCCCTCTGGGGGGTGATTTCTCGCTTTCTATCTCTATGTCTCTCTCTGTCTGTCTGGCGAGCGCACGCGCCCTGTAGCGAAAACCTCTCCAAAAAAAAAAAAAAGTACAAGTTTATTACGGTGCAAAAAAATTTTTAAAAGATGTATTTTCCCACAATATGCATCCTCTAAGAACTTTCTGAAGACCCCAGGTATAAGCCCCAACCACCTGGCACCTCGAGTTCATGTTTTCTATGGCTTCCACATATATATTAGGTTGTTGGGAAAGTCGTGACATATTTTTCTGGGTTTTTTTTTTTTTTTTTTTTTTGGAGAGGTTTTTGCTATAGGGCGCATGCACTCGCCAGCCAGAGAGAGACAGAGACAGAAAGCGAGAAATCACCCCCCAGGGGGGATGGCCTTCTCCTCCATTCCTCCTCGCAATCCCTTCTCCTCTTGGGATTTTGGGCACGCACGCACACGCACCCGGCGTGAGTTTTAAGCCACCGGGTCCGGGACTCAAACTGCGGTCGACTACATGGGAGTCCAGTGACATAGCCATTATGCTAACTGCTGGTTCCTGTTTTTTTTAAGAGGTTTTTGCCTTAGGGGGTGTGCACTCACAGGACAAAGACAGACAGATACAGTGAGAGGGAATGAGGGAATGTGAGAAGTCACCCTCCAGGGGATGGATACACTGCAATCCCTCCTCCTCCATTCTCCTCCTGGGATCTTGGGCATGCACACACACAGGCCCGGCATGAGTTTGAAGCCAATGGGTCCAGGACTCAAACAATGGTCGACCGTGTGGGAATCCAGTGTAGTAACCGCTATGCCATGTGCTGGCCCCTTTTCTGTGTTTTTCCTATGCAAAAATGAGTCATGACTTTCCCGATGACCTAATATATATATACTTTAAATATGATTTTTATGCCTTTTCTCCTATTAATCTGCCAACGGTCAGTGATTTCTTTTTTTTTTTTTTTTTTTAGCAAACCTCAAAGGGAAGGGAAAATGCCTTCTCCCCGCACATTATTTAAGAAAATTCTGTACAACGAATTTCTTATCAAAGTGGCTTGTATTTGAATTTCTTATTAAATGAATTAATATTCCAAATGCACCAGAGCTAGCTGTTTAAAAGACTTTTCCTGGGGCCAGCAGGTGGCATGGTGGGTAAGGCATTGGACTCCTACATGACCAATCTCTGTTCAAGTCCTGGACCCAGTGGTTTGAAAATCACACCAGGCCTGTGCACATGCATGCCTCAAATCCTCAGAGAATAGAGGAGGAGGGATTGTGGTGTGGCCATGCCCTGGGAGATAATTTCTCACTTTCCCTCTCTCTGTTTCCTTCAGGCAAGTGCACATGCCCTGTGCCAAAAAATAATAATACAAGTTTTTAAAACTTAAAAAACATACAAATGAAACTTTTGCCTGGGGCCAGTTGTGGCCTGGTGTTTAAGTCTGTTGGCTCCCACATGGCTGACTATGTAGTTCAAGTCCTGGGCTCAGAGGCTTGAGAAACATGACAGGGGTGTGTGCATGGGTGCCCAAAATCCTGAAAGAAGAGATGGAGAAGTGATTACAATGTGACCATTTTCCATGAAGGGTAGGGAAGAGCTAGCTTCTCTCCTCCTCTCTCTCTTTCTCTCTCTGGCAAGTACACATGCCCTCCTGAGTTGGGGGTGGGGATTATTCCATGTAACTTAGTTTGAAAAATGACATATATGTGTAGCAAAAAAAAAAAATCAAATCAAATTATACCTGCTTTACATATCTGGGGTAGATAATGCATTCATAATAAAAACATCTATTCTTTAGACGCAAGATGTTCTTTGGATTTTGAGTGTCTTCAAGCTTCGGCACCTGGCAAATTCCAACCAGCTATCACATATCGAATGAGTAACTGAAAATAAGCCAAACTCACAGAATTATGAAGACTGCTGATTTAATAGACTTAGCTGGCAAAATAAACATATAACTGATTTAACATACAATCCAGCCTGGAACACATTTTAACATCCACTATCCCGTGCAGCCTGGGACACACGTGGCACCTACTAGCTGTGCTACTCCATAAACGCAACACAAAATTAAAAGCAATTCCTCGCTACCTGGCTTGAAAGATTAAGCTGTACCTACTTGTATCCAGTTTGTCAGCCCCGGATAAGGAGAAAAATGGACTTTCTTGGTTTCTGCAATCTTTAAGGTCCTGCATTCATCTCTCCTTTCCTTTCTATTGCTGACTCTCTCCCACATTTTTACTGTATAACCTTCCCGAGCACTTGGAAAATGATCTGAATATAGCTGCAAAATTGTCCAGGGATATTTACAAATTCTTTCCTCTCTCTATTACTCCAATTTTCCTTTCGGGGAAGTGTAGAGGCAAAGGAATTTTCCCTTCCCCTTTGAAGGTTCTCTGAAAATCCCTGATGACAGGCAAATTAATCAAAGAAAAGGCATACACATTTTGTTGGAATGTACACGTGTGTATAGGGGAGCCACAGAAAATATGAACTCAAAGAGGGGACACAGGTTGAGGCTGATCAACCCTTCCTCATAGGAGAGAGGAAACTGGGGTAAGGTTGGGGCTGATGCTGAGACAGTGTTAGTAAGTGATTCTCTTTGGGAGCTGGATGGGACCAAGACATGACCCAAAGGTGATGCAAAAAAGAAACCAGGCAGGAACAAAGGCTGTTGTTTCTGCACACAAAGTTTCCTACACAGTCCCTGCGAGTCAGCCTGGGCATGATGACTTTCAGCCTCTCTCCATGGTTAATCTTTCCTGGTTATTTGATGAGATTTCTACCTAGGGAGTTTCAAACAACTGCATTTCTATTGGAAATACACCTCCTCAGTGGGGCAAGTGCATTCCAGAGAGCCCCTCCATCTGCTGCAATGAAGGGGGAACAAGACAAGGTGAAGGGGACCTTGATTTTGAGGCAGTTCCTATAAATTCAGCATGTCCACTTCCCAGGCCTTGGGGTATTTTTTTATAAGCCACAAAAGAAGAAAAGGTATTTCTTTCAGATCCTTTTCTTCAGGGCAGGGTCAAGAACAAAGATGGAAAGCTTTTTCTTCCTATCTTGAAATTCCAATTCTGAGCCAAAACAATGTCCTAATTATAAGGGGGGAGGGGGCTGGTATCTTTTCTCTCTTTGTCTTTTCTTTTTTCTTCAGGCAGAGAAGAGAGAAGTAGGTGGCTGGTGATCAGCAAGCTGGGGCTTTAACTCAGCTGCTTAATTTTAGGGTGTTCTGAGACATTTCTCACTCTGGCTGTTAAAACTGACCAATGCAATAACCCAGCTCTTCGTGGCCCAAAGCCCCAAGCATGCAGTGTTTCAGACAAAAAACCTTTTATGACAGTCTGCTGCTTAGCTAACCAGAACCTGGCGGCGCTGCGTTCTGACCACTGACTGCCCAGCCCTTTCCTGCCTTTAGCAGACTTGGAAAACAAAAATGACAGCTTTTGGAAAACCTGGTTCATCTCCCCAGCCAGAAGTGCAGAAGTGTACGCCTCAAGCTCTAACTTCGGACAGGCCTCTCCACCGAGAAGCAGAGGCCGAGCGAGTGCGAGGCTAACCCTCCCTTCCCTCGCGCCCACCAGAGCCTGCTCCACCGCGCACATGTTCCTCCGGCCCTGCCCTCTGTGCACGCTCTTGGGATCCAAGTGGAACGTTTTCCTCCTCTCCCCCAACCCCCTCCGATTACAGATGCAAATTCTCCGCCAGGGATGAAAAGAAGTCTAGGTCGCCCGGGTACCAGGATTGCGCCCATCGCAGCATCCTGCACAAGGACGCAGCCTCGTTGCATAATTAACGTGAGAAGGCGCTTCCGTTCATCCCGCGACCACGGAGGTCCTCGAGCGGCCTGAGCCCACCGGAATGTTCCACGCCAGAAAAAAACCGGCTCGCCCTTTCTTCTCTCCACCCGGGTGGGGTGCGGTGCGGGGGCCACCGAAACTCACCCGCCCTGAGGGTCTCGGAGCTCACCGTGCCCGCAGCCGGCGCTCCCCAGGGGCCTCGGCCTCCCCC